TCGTGTGTTCTTCTTTTGTTTTTTTTTTTTTTTTTTTTTGCTATAGGGCACATGTGCAAGCCAGACAGAGAGAGGGAAAGTGAGAAATCATCCCCTATGATGACCACACCACCCACAGTCCTTTCTCTTACATTCTCTTCCTGAGATTTTGGGCACTCATGCACACAAACCCGGAATGATTTGTAAGCTGCCAGGTCCAAGCGTGGTCAGCCATGCAGGAGTCAGCGCTTTAACCCCCACACCACTTGCTGGTCTCAGAGTACAGTTTCAATAGCAGGATGAGTCAGAGACAAACGTCTGTAGGTCACCCAGGGAGCCTAGGAAAAGTTTTCAGCCTAAAAGGAAGAGTCTAGAGATCAACCTCTTTTCCCCAGTCCTCTCTACATAAAATGCTTCTCGCAATGACAGCTGCTTTGATGGATGTGGCCGTCATACCCACAAATGCTGGCACAAACCCGGATCTGGCTACTCCTGTGTGTAAAAGAGGCAAAGGACCGTGACCCATGGTTAAAGCTCTGGGGCAAATCAGGTCGCAAGCCTGCCTTTACTCCACCCCTGGCTTTACATTGAAATATGAAGTGGGATTAATCGTCACTTTGTGCAGGCAGGCTTTACCTGTATAGACACTGGCGGGTCTGCTCTCCACAACACAGTCCCCGTGCTAGTTAGGTGTGGGGGTGCTGAAGATCCCAAATGTGCATTCCTGGCCCTTCTTGCTTCATCAGCACAATTTTGCCTCTCCTGACAGCTCTGTGGTTGCTAAGAAACTGTTTCCAGATGGTAGGGCTCACTCTTTGTCCTTTTCCAGACCACAGCAGGGTTTACTTTCCCTCCTGTGAGTTTGCCAGGAGCACAAAGTAACATTCCCAGCCTCCTGACAACTCAACAAGAGACTGACTGCAATGAACTTTAAAGACACTTGTTACTACAGGGGTACCATATGCTTCAGCAATGATGGGATCCCAGCTTGTGGCTGGCCTTGGCAAATAGTCAGGGTCCTGCCAACACAGCCTTTTTTTTTTTTTTTTTTGGAGAGGTTTTTGCTACAGGGTGCGTGCGCGCACCAGACAGAGACAGAGAGACAGATAAGCGAGAAATCACCCCCCCCCAGGGGGGATGGCCACGCCGCAATCCCTTCTTCTCCATTCTCCTCTCGGGATCTTGGGCACACACGCACATGCGCCCGGTGTGAGTTTTAAGCCACCGGGTCCGGGACTTGAACCATGGTCGACTACATGGGAATCCAGCGACATAGCCATTACGCTAACTGCTGGTCCCAACCAACACAGCCTTGTTTATTGGTGGTACAGTCTTGTACAGTATAGCAGCCAGCCCAGGGAATGTTTGCAAGGTGCAGACTCAGAGACTGGTTCTCAGGCAGTGAGGTCACCTCCAGAGGAAGAGCACCCAGCTGACCACAGCAGCCACAAATGGCTTTTGGTTTGGATTGCTGGACCCCTTGTCCAATGGCAACCCTCCTTTTTTTTCTTTTCCAACGGAGTCCTAGGCATATTGAGGGCATTCGTTTATTATAAATAAATAAATAAATAAATAAATAAACTACATGTCCCAGCACGTCTTGCGGGATTGAAATCGAGGCCTGGCAAGGTGAAGTGCCCTAGAGATTTCTGGGACAGCCTTACCTTCCTAATATAGCTCTGTCCTTCACCCTCCATCTCCCCCCCTCCAATGTTTGGGTTTTGCAAAGGCTAATTTGGCTGACTTTAGACTTCCTTCCAGTTACTTCCCAGGTTGTAATTACATTCAAAGCTTTGGAGACTGCTGGAAGGCTGATTTCTAGATAATACGGGGATTCTTGTACCTGAGCTGATTACTTTTTAAAAAATGGATTCATGTAGTCTGATGCTGAACATTGGAAGTGAAAATGATGAAACATGTGCCCTTTTCAAAGCTGCTAATTAAAACACAAGCAAACATGAGGCTAGGTGATTGCGTGCAGAAAGATCAAAAAGTTTGAGGAATGTACATTTTATGTCAATAAAGCGAAAGGACTGGATTTGCCACAATGGGAAAAAATGAATTCAAAACTCTCAGTATTTAACTGTATCTCCATTTATCTCTGCAAGGTCTTTATCTCAAAGTCTCAATTCCTCTACTTTCTTTTCACACCAAGGTATTGAATGAGGAATATTAGGCCGTTGGGAAAGCCATAACATACTTTTCTGTGCAAAAATGTGTCATGATTTTCCCAGTGACTCCATATATCAAGTTGACTGGCTGTTGGATATATTGCTCTAGAGAGGCTTCTACACTCCTCTCTTTTTTCTACCATCAAATGACTTTTGTCAAAAAAGTTAATTAATTTTTAATTTATCATTATTATTTTCATTATTTAATTTGCTGTAGAGCACATATGCTCATCAGAGAGAGACAGAGAGAAAGAAAGAGAGGAAAGTGAGAAAGCAAGCCACCAGGTCTGGGATTCGAACCATGATCAGCCATGTGGGAGTTCAGCACCTTAACCACCACACCACTGCTAGCCCCCAGCAAATGACTTTGACATTTACCATTTTGCCAATGACAGGTTCCTGAGAGTAAGCGTATCGGAGTGGTTAGAATCAGAATGTTTGCTAATAATTGTGTGTGTGGTTTTTTTTTTTTTTTTTTGAGATGTTTTTGCTATAGGGTGCGTGCGCTCGCCAGAGAGACAAAGAGACAGAAAGCGAGAAATCACTCCCCGGGGGGATGACCATGCCGCAATCCCTTCTCCTCCATTCTCCTCTCAGGATCTTGGGCACACATGCACACACACACACACGCCTGGCGTGAGTTTTAAGTCACCGGGTCCGGGACGCGAACCGCAGTCGACTACATGGGAGTCCAGCAACATAGCCATTATGCTAACTGCTGGTCCCTGTGTGTGTGTTTTTTTAATGGAGCAGAATATAGGTGACTAAATCTTGAAATGCACAATAAATGAATCTCCTTTATTGTAAGACAAAACAATTTAATGATTGGAAACACAAAATAACAGAGAAGCACTTAAACATTTAGTACACGTGTTTTAAAACCCCGATATTTTTATGAAGTATTCTTATAATCTAACTACTACTCTCTCTTTTTCTGTTTACAACATACCATTTCAACCTATTTATAGAATGAAGGCCTTAAGGAAAAGCCTTGTTCACATTCCCATAAAATAAATAAATAAATATCTCTTGAGATCAATTTGACTGAACTTGGCTAAATTCTGTAGGTTCCAATCTTCTTAACAGACACAAAGGAGGATGGATGATCTTTCATTATCAACAAATTCCTATCACTACAGTTACACAGTTGATTAAACTATTCAAATCTATTTATTGAGTTCTTATGTGCAAAGTATTGTTCCAAAGCAGACACTCTTCTGTAGATGTAAAGCAGACCACGGATATTTTAATTGCAGAAGTCTAGGACTTTGACTGGCTTTTTTAGCCTAGTGGTTAAGGAAGCTGGATTCTACATGGCTGACCAGCATTGAATCCCAGCTCAGGGGGCTTGAAAAACATGCCAGCTACATGGGCATATGCACCCCAAATCCTAATAGGCTGAAGAAGTAGAGCAGAAGGGATTACAGCATGACCACACAGCCAATGAGAGGTGCTCTCTTCCTCCCCTTTTCCCTCACCCTCTTCCTCTCTGTCTCTCTCTGGCAGGCTCACATGCCCTCTAACAATTAAAAAAAAAAGTTTAGTACTTTGATGTATCAAACTATCTAAATGATAAGAAAAATTTGATCTCGTTGCTGCAGTTTCCAAAAGAGCCCAGTTCATTTCTAGAGAATAGCTCAGGCATTGAAAAAATATAATTCAAACTTAAGCATTCATAAGAGGGGGAATTAGGAATAGTGGTCTCTCCATGACATAACATAAATGACACTCTGAAGTATATTCTGGTGATCTAAAAATGCTAAG